GGGGGGGGGGGGGGGGGTGTTGGGAGATGGCGCAGGTTCGGAAGCTGGCGCGTCACAATCTATCACACCAGGGGGTTGAAGCCAGAATAATTTCAAAATAGTAATCTCCCTGGGATGGAATCCTCACCGCCAAACGTGGTTTCACTCTCGACTGGGAGGCCACATCCAGATCTAGCCTAATCGAGCCTAATTCCGGATCGTCTTCGTCCTTCTCGGTTGGATGGACCTTTTTTTTTTTTTTTTTTTTTACAAAGAAAGCTCCATCTATTGGTGGGGAGCGACACCTGCTGGACACCGGGTCCAGCGTCCCATAGATACAACCATATCCTCGTGGCACAAACTGGGAATCGGGCCCAGCATCCCATACGAAAAGTCATCAGAAAATTTCATGAAAGTGAGGCAAAAACTACTAGAAAAGTCCGATGTCTAGACATTCTTTTTTTGCCAACTCAAACAGCAATTAGTGGAAGTCCTTCAAATGCTCAGAACCCCTGGAAGCCCCTCAGTTGGATGAACCTTCATAATCGGCCCGAAGATATTTTCGACAGCCGAATATAATGCAGACATCAACTGAAAAGGAACCCGTAGACAGCGAATCCAAAAAAACTTCGAGTCAACTTCCTTGAATGTTCCCATTTCAGGCAGCTTCATCCATGGTACAAATTGAACGTTATATTCTTTCCCAGCATTGGTTCGAATTTGATCCGTCTGCTTTTGGAGCATCCATCTGATGATAGAGGGTTCAGTACAGACAAAGGAACCTATATTTTTACCTTCACTCTGAGATCTCCGGGCAACACTTGTAACCAAAAAATACCCACCTTTTCTTTTCTTTTTTTTAAAAGGGCGACGGCCTTGAGATATTATGAGCTAACCGGCCCCAAGCAATTCATTAGTAGTTGGTTTTAATCGTCAAGTTCCATCATTTTGATTCGAACACAGGTTTGTATTTCAACAGTTCATGGGTGTACCCACTGAGCTAGGCTCTTGGGTACCACCTGGTACCACGCATTTTCATATACTCTGACCAGCTTCGTCTTAAGATGATTTGAGAGTGCTCTCGCTTCATTCAAAAATATTATCGCGACCTCGTGCTCCTTTAACCATTGGATGTTTAATTCCGAAAATTCTTCATTCAGGTTGAAGCAGGCCAAATCGTCCTCAATCTCTGCCACGGTGCCACCCCTATACCATCTCTAAAACAGGCTTTAAGCAGGGAGGAGACATGAGTGCTTGCCTTTGGGGAATACGATTTGCGTAGACCTTGATTTCCATTTTCCTGGGAGATATCACGCCAGGGGGTTAGGGACAGGAAAACACCGAGACACAGATCAAGACGATGTATACGCACCAGGCCCCTTTCATCACACATACAACAAACACTGTCAGAAGAAACAGGCGGGAATATAGGGCATCCCCACACCACTCTCGAAATGTGCAAAATGAGAATGAACTTCCCGCGAAAACGTGGCCAGATGCACCCGTTACATTTTTGCCTTTTTCGCAATTCGAGAGTGGTGTGGCGAGGCCCATAGAGAAGTTAGCGGAGGCTTCCAAAACCAGGACCACCGTTTATTGACCATGAATCGCAATTTGCAAGCACAGAAGTGGTTATGGACAGGAAAACACCGAGACACCGATCAAGACGATGTATACGCACCAGGCCCCTTTACCGGGGCGTTCGAGAAGAAGCACACTGTCAATCCAAGGAGTCCCGCAGTTCAAAGGTTGCTGACGTCATCACAATTGAAGAAGCATCCAAGGCTGGGCTAGGTAACCAGGCCCTGAACAGGTGGACAAGCCCATCCTCAATGAGGATGTTACTGAATCTATGTGAACAGTAGCCTTACCACTCCAACCGCTATGGCTGAACCAAAGCGGGTACACGGCCCGACGGCATCGCACTTCTCTCACAGCTCTCCCTGCCCTCGGGACTACTGCGACCTGCGCAAACCAAATCGGTGCCCCCGCTCCGTTGCCCGCGCTTGTCGGCCACTCAAGGCCGCCCCGAAAACACTTTTTTTTGCTGCATGCCGCCGATGATGCCGGTAACAAGTAACTGGACTGGAGCCCACCAGGAAAAAAAAAAAAAAAAAAAGGTGTGTGGGAAAAAAAAAAAAAAAAAAAAAACGTTTCCCAAAGGGGGGGGGGGGTGAAAAAAAAAAAAAAAAAAAAAAACCCTTCCCCAAGGAGGGGGTGTGGGGAAAAAAAAAAAAAAAAAAAAAAAAAAAACGGTTTCCCAGACGAGGATGTGTGTGTGGAACGAAAAAAAATAGAAAGCACGTTCCGCAGGTGTGAATATGAAAAACAAAACAAAAAAACAAACACAACACGTTTCCCAGACGCTGTCTCTTATACACATCTAGATGTGTATAAGAGACAGGTAGTTTAGCGAGGCTCTACACACACAAAAAAACAAAAAAACAAACACAACACGTTTCCCAGACGTGTTCGAAGCTGGCCACACAGGCTGTCGAAAACCAGGTTTTCTACAATTTGGGGCTTGCCACACCACTGTCCAAAGGCAAGAAAAAATTCGAAGGCTGTCAGAAGAAATTGGACAGCCCCCCTTTCGAGACACAGCACTGTAGAATGGACGCGCTTGTGAATGCAAGATGGAAAAACACCAAATCGGCTGAGGGTATGGCAAGCATCCCGACCTCACGCCCACTCACCAAATTTAGAAGACAGTCGAACGCGAAGACGGTGCTGGAGAAAAAGTTGGTGAGGACAGGTATATTTAATCTCCAATCGCATGAAACACTCATTCTGGTTGTGGGGGGAACTGAGTGTAGTCCCTATTTGTGGATGCTTTATTATAAGTAACTATATATAAGTGTCGGGTTAGGTAGGAAAATGACAGACCCTTCGGTGCCACCCCCTTTGTCAGATGTCGAAAAAGGAAGGATCAGGGATCTTATAGCGAAATGCTATATCAATGGGGTCATTCCGGATGACTTGGCTCCTAATTTGGTGGAAACTGGAAAGGACTATGTGAAAATTACAATCAATCCGGCCATCTACCAGATTCAGGAGGAATGGTTGCAGGAGCACGCTGTGTCGATTTTCTTTGGCGAGGACTCAAATTCGCTGTCCATGGATGTTAAGAAACGATTAGTACGAATTTACGAAAACGGGTGGGCTTCAGCGGGCGAGGTCAATGCCCCCCCGAAACCAGGGTTGTTTCATAACGAGGGGATAACCTTAGTCACGTATGTTGCCACAGCGAAAGAGATTGCTACGTGGATGTTGAGAATCGGCCAAACGAAAGTCGAGTTGGACAACAAAACTTACACCCTGTCTTTTAAACCATGGATGACAGAGTTGGAGTTGTGGGAATGGAGAGAGGTAGCCAGGCACAGTTTCTTTTGGATACGATGTCAGCAGGTGCCAGTGGGCGCTCTCCCCCACTTGTCCAAAGCTGTGACAGACGCATTTGGTCCAATTTTGAAAACTTTTTCTGCGTTCAAAGACCCATTGAATACATCAGGTTTGACTTGGAATCGGCGGCACGCCTGAAATATAAGCGGTATTTAGTAGTTGATCTAGGAAGATTAGGGTATGTGGAGATTGAGGTGGTGTGTGCAAACACGCCGTGGTGCCCGGTTTGCAGACAACACTTCCATTCGGAAGACGATCCTGACTGCCCGTCGAAAAACAAGAAATCATATGCAGCAGTGGCAAAGCAGGTTCAGAAGCCCCCCCCAAAAAAAAGCAAGGGGAGCGAGAAGCAGGGTCCCCAGGGGGGAAAGGGTGGTGGTTCGGCAGTGGCAAAGGAGAAGAATGGAGGAAAAGTGGATAATGAAGGAGGATTGGGTGGGAAAGGTGGCGAAGGGAGTGGAGGGACAAATGGGGGAGGGACAGACGGAGGAGGGACGAGTGGGATGAGGGCTACTGAAGAGGAAAGGGAAAGGGAGAAGAGGGGAGAAGGGAATGGTGGATCAAATGGGGGAGGGACTAGTGGGACGAGTGGCGAAGGGACAGAAGAAGGAGGGGAGAAAGGAGTATCTAAGTCTCAGGGGGAGGAGGGGGGGAAAAAGAGTCAGGAAGAATGGAAAATAGTAGATCGGGAGAAAGGAAAAGGCACAGATTCGGAAGAAGGTAGAAATAGCAAGACAGACCTTGAGAAAAGACAGCGGTCTTTGGAGTTAAAGATATCGGATGATATGGATGAAGATCGTGTAGTAGTGAGAAGAAAAAGAAAACGGGATGAATCCCATCACAGCGAGGAGGATGTCTCTCCCGCCAAAGACGAAGATAAGGACCGGAAAAAAGGTAAAGAGATGGTACTATACGATGGTGACCAGGGTTGGTCTTCGAGAGCCTCTCTTCACTCCCCGTCCTGGTCCTCGTCAGAGGAAGAGGAGGACGAAGAGGAGGAGGACCAAGGTAAGTTAGTCCCCTTGTTTGGAGACTTAGATCACCCCCTCCCCCCTCCCCCGCCCTTGGGGAATACGAAAAGGTACATTAATGATATGTACGATTTCAGAGAAGACAAAGATCGATCTCAGTTTGGGGATATTGACCAGCCTGTAAGCCCTTCGTCGCGGCTCCCATCCTCGCCGTCGCAACATGGATATGAGGACTGTGTTGACGACCAAGATGGAAGCAGAGATGAGTATTACTCGGCTGGGGATAGTTCCCCTGCCCTCCGTGATTCCGAAAGTCCAGTAGCAAAGTCGAACTTCATCTCTCCTGCGAAGAGGTCAAAGCCAAATATCAGAAAACCTACTGGTACCGGGGACTTGCTAGGAACAGGAATGGTGCAGCAGGCAAACAATTCCTCGGACGTTGCTAAGCCAGCGAAAAATCGAAAGTCGAGGCAGTCCCTGTCCCTTGCTCTTCCAATGCAGACATTGTCGAAGGAAGACAAGGTGAACGGTACTGGGTGAAGCTGGTCGTGCCCATTGTGTGCACACAATCACCACACAGAATAATGTTTCTGACGCACAAGCAACAGGATGAATCGCTTGTTATTCCATCCTTTCAGACTACAGGCCCACCCCACAATGATCAATGGAGGTCCTGGGTGGAGAAGGAGATGCTTCAGAACTGTTGCCGAGCGTCGTTGCTATCGAAACCTAAGAGAGGTAGGTTTGTGTATGTTGGTGAACAAGGAACAAAGTACTTAGTGCACATATCCCTTATGACAGTGACAATGGATCGGGTTGCTGCTACCCAGCTCCAGAAATTGGACATCCATTGGCTTCCTCTGGCACACCTGTTGGATGTGGGTATTGATACCCTGAGTGACATTGGCATTTTTGCTGATGTAACAGCCCTCAGCGTGGCCCAGTGGCTGGCACAATCGGATTCGGCTGATTTCCTGACTTCTCCGGCCTTTGCGGAGATGTTGAACGAAAAACAAAATAATCAGGGAACTCAGCCGAAGGGACTGCCTGAAGGGAGGACAGAAATAAAGGGTAAGAAAACAGGCAATGACCGTATCCAACTGAGCGGCAAGGGCCCTACCAATGGTCCTGCCAAGAAGGCTTAGGGTCACCAGTTGGAACATACGAGGATTGGGGGATTCAAATAATTTTTTTAAGAAATCCAGGTTGAGGGCTTGGGTACATTCTAATGAGATTCACATCCTATTGTTGCAGGAAACTAAGTTGTGTGATTCTAAAATACAAGACTTGAGGCAGTGGTGGCAAGGTCTACAGATCTGGGCCCCTGCTGATGGGTCTAAAGGCGGGGTTTGTATTTTAATGAACAGAGACCTGGACACGGAGATTTTGGATAAGTATTATGACCCGGACGGCAGGTGGACCTGGGTCAAATTTACTGTGGAAGCGGAGGAATGGGCAGTTATGGTAATTTACGCTCCGGTCGAATTTACGAAATGCAATGCTTTCTTTGCCTCCCTTCCCTCAGCAATTCTCGATACTGAGCATTTAATTATGGCTAGAGATTGGAACACAGTTTTCAATCCAGGCTTAGATTCCCTTAAAATCCATCCGATCAGATCAGATACGATACTGTTATCCGAACTAACAGAGTCTCAGAATTTAAATGATGCCTTTAGGATTCTAAACCCAGATAACTCCGGTTATACCTGGTATGGCCTGAAGCCTAATGATAGAACCCCGGTCCCCCGAAAAAGATTGGATTTTATTTTGGTACGGGGCTCGCCATGGGACCGTTGTATGGCATGCGATTTAATGGAACAATCTATGTCAGATCATCACCCGGTAATTATGGATATTTTGTCAGGTGAGATTGTGGACAAAGAGCGACCTCCATTTCATCTCAACATAAATCTATTGAAGGATCGGGGGATCCTAGAGTGGGTTACGTCCCATATGGAAGCTTGGATGGGCGCGCAGGACCTGTTTCCGGACCAAAATGTACAGGCAGATACGGGAATAGGAACCCTAAAAGCTGCCCTTATAGCGTTCTTTAGAATGAAGGCTGCGGCCAGAACATGGTATGAGAAGAGATTAACGTTGAGAATCAGAGAAGATGAGACTAACATGGGACAAGACCCTTTTTCGGATCTTTTCTAGACCTAGGAAAGGGCAAAAACTCGCTCTGAGCTTGAGGCTCTGCAAATCCAGAAACAAGGGGAATGGTCGGAATGGTTGCGCCTCAGGGGTATTATTGGCTACGATAGAATGACCAAAATATACTTCAGATCCTTAATCTTGCGGCAGTCCAAATCCTGAATGCGAGAACTGTCACACCCATTTGTGATTAACGCCCCTATTGCTGCAGATACGGTGAGTATGTGTAAATATGCATTTGAGTATTATAGAGACATTGTCTCTACTAGGAGACGTTTTGACCCTCCTCATATAGATCTTTCGATTGTCTCTGATTTCCTCAGCAAAAGATAAGTTAGACCAGCCGGTAACCGAATCTGAATTGCTGGTTGCAGCGAGACTTATGGCCAAAGGCAAGTGCCCAGGCCTGGATGGGCTGCCGATTTAATTGTTCTTAGCCTCGTGGTCTGCGTTCGCCCCCTTTCTATGTGTTATCTACAATAAAGCCTTGTCAACAGGGAGTTTCCCAAAGAACTTCACCTTGGGGATGATCTCGCTGTTGTACAAAAAAGGAGACAAAAGGGAGGTGCGTAATTAGCAACCGATCTCGGTCTTGAATGTAACATATAAATTGTTGGCTAAAACACTGGCCCTGAGGCTTGCAAAATACCTACCAGGCCTTATCGGCTGGGAACAAGGGGCGTTCGTGAAAGGTCGCTCCATTTTTGACAACATTTTGTCAACAGTTCAAGCGTTGGAAATTATTAGAAGCAAAAAAAGAAAAGTGGCAGTCCTCCTCCTTGATATGGAGAAGGCATACAATAAAGTGGGTTGGGGCTTTGTCTTTACCTCTCTGAGAAGGTTGGGATTTGGAGACTGGTTTTGCAGATGGGTTGAAGCAAGCTATACAAACGCCTCCTCTGTGCTTTTGGTTAATGGGAAATTGTCTGAGAGCTTTAAACTTTCACGCTCTCTACGTCAGGGTTGTCCCCTGGCCCCGCTGTTATTCGTTCTGCAACTGGAAGTCCTACTTAACAATATTAGAAAAAATGTGAATATTAAAGACCTTGATCTCTCCCCCTCTCTTCAGTGGAAAGGAGGAGCCTTAGCGGATGACCTGACGATAACTAGTGAAAACTCTGTCCAGTCACTCAATACGTTAAAAAGAGTTATAAATGCTTATTGTAACCTATCTGAAGCATCCATAAATTGGGACAAGTCAGTGTTTTTCCTCCCCCCAGACCAAGAATTGTGTATTGATTGGGGTCTGCGGCGAATACCAGCTAACTCGTCTGAGCGTTTTTGGGATTTCAAGCTTCACTTTCTGATCCGTCAGCTGTGCAGGATGCTATGTTGGCAGAAAAAGTTTCTGCTAGAATTACTGGATGGATGAGAAGCCACAAGCTTTCTCTGTATGGTAGGGCAATGGTTTTATCAATGGCGGCCTTCTCATCGCTCTGGTTCCCTTTGTCAGTCCATTTGTTGGGAGAGGAGGCATACTCCAAGATCAAGAAGTCTGCGGCAAAATACCTATGGAAGCCGTCAGCATCTGAACATCAAGGCTTCCTCTCAAAGGTCGCATGGGAGGCAGTTTCTCAAACACGAATTTTGGGGGGGCTGGGGATTTTGGACCCGGCACAACAAAATTTGGCCCTTTTGTGTAAATGGATAATAGCAGCTACGTGGGGCAAAAGAGAGAAGTTGTGGATCAAGCTGGCAGAATACATAATGGTTAAGGAATGGAGTCTGTCAAGACCAGAGGACGTCTGGCGTTGCATGTTTATACGGTCCTATAATTCAAACCGCCGTCCTAAGTCCAGGTTATGGAGAAATATCTTGCATGCGTGGCAGAACCTTTTTCCGGACTCCTATTCTCAACCCTCTACTAATCTGGAATTATTGAATCAATTTTTATTTGAAAACCCTTGGATCCTACAGGAAGACGGCTCCCCCTTTCATGCAGGTGGTAGAAGGGGTAGTTTTGGGAAAAGTTGGGTTGAGAAAGGAATAGTGCAGGTAAAAGACTTGTGGGATACAGAGACTAATGATTGACGTTCGATTGAGTATCTTGCCCATATTTTGCCAAGGGTACGCAAAAGGGAGGAAAGCTTTAGTAAACTGAAGAAGGCGATCCCAAGTTATTGGGTGGATCAGTTAAGAAGCAGGGAAGAAGCCCCTCTGGGTGCGTGGCTTAAAGACCCGGACTGCTCATCTCAGTTTTTTAGGGTACTTGGCCCGGAAATCCCACAAGGGGTAAAAGTGCAGGTATGGAGGAAGATTAAGGTTCAGGGGCAGAGGTTTGTTTTAAAACATAAGGGGGAAAGAGTGGTCCCATCAACGGGAGGCTTTGTAGAAAGTCGGGTCTGGGCTCCGGATCTGGTCTCTAGTTTGTCCTCCAACTGTTGGTTCTTGATGGAGGATGCATCGCTGACACTGGCGGAACCAATGTTGTTTGGGTGGAGTATGGTGGAGCCGCAATTCAAGACATCCCCGACCATCTGTTACAAGCCAAAGTGGGGGGTCAATATTCTAAGATCTAAAAGGAAGAAACAACCAATATGTTTGGCTACACAGAGAATGGGGAACGAACAAGGCTTTCAATTGGGTAATATGGATTTGTCTGGCCTATGGGGAGCGTTGAGAATGATTCCATCACAAAAATAGGCCAGCTTGATGTGGCTGCAGTCGTTATTGGTGACAGCGTCTGCTACGCGATTGGCGTCCTCAGGCATGCAAATTTCTGAGGTGTGTTCGAGATGTCAATGGGGTTGGGAGACAACTAGCCACCTGTGGTTGTACTGCCCCTTCTCCATGCAAATTTGGGAATGGTGGAAAACGCATTGGAATAATATGGTAGGGACCTGCTTTCCTTGGTCCCAGGCCTGTATATTGTTTGCTTGTACTCAGTCTGAGGTAGACCTTACAAAGGAATGTAGACCTTACAAAGGAATGGGGTTATGTTGCCTTGGTTTGTCGTGGCACGATCATGGAGGTATTATGGAAGGCCAGGAACCTTGCAACCTTCAAGGGGGAGCAAGTCCCCTTTCAAAGCCTAGTGGAAATGATAAAAGAGTCGATCAGACTCTCAATCCGAGCTGATTGGACAAAGGTGGGAGGGGGAGGGAGAAAAAGTCGGTATTGGTTCTCCCAAACTTGGGCAAGACCGAATGGCTTGGCTTCTGTCGACGCGGAAGGAAAAATGTATATCTGTAGTTGGCTGATTCATTGAACCAGGAGATAGTGGGGGATCGACATTAGATCCGGAGTTCTATGGTTGTATGTCGCTGGTGACCTTTTAAATTAGGAATTTAGGCCGAGGATTCGGCCGAAGTAGGTGGTGTTTTTCTAGTAGGAAGAATTTATTATTTGTTTGCTTAGAATTGAAGAGGTTGAAGGTTCTATTTAGGTATTTTTTAAAATTTGTTTTTGAGTAGGTGTTTGTAGAATAGGCAAGATCGGAGTCTAGGGAGAATAGTGGG